GGGTATATCTGGTTTAAGGGTTAGTCGCTCCGTTACGTAGCAAAGTTTGGGGGTTTCGGGTTGATATTTAGGTTTTAGAGTTTAAGGATTAGGGGTTCAGGGTTTCGGGGTTTAGGGTTCAAAGTTTAGAGGCTCATACCTGGATCTAGCAAAGAAGAAGACCCGCTCTTCTCCTTGATTTCTTTGCTCCTTTTGTAATCTGAGGGTCCTGAGTAGGGAGAGAAAGACATGAGACGTGGCAACTGCTTTCTGGGCTGCCCATCGTCATCGTGAGAGTTAACCTGTTCCCTAAATCCCAAACCGCAAATCCTACTTTAAACCTCTACCTGTTCCCTAAATCCTAAACCGCAAATCCTACCCTACACCATAAGTCTTAACCTTTATAAACCTCTACCCTCCGAAATCCTACTCTCTACACTTAGCAACTTGGAGCCCTCAACCCTAAACCTCTTCTTACGAGTGGTTTTGGTAGGAAAGAAGTGAATGTCATGCCTACAGAACCCCTGTATAATCTATTCCCTTATCCCCTACTACCCACTAGACCCTAAACCCTAAATGGCAGTTCTCATTTCATTTTCCGTTATCCCTACATAACCCTATATCATACCCCTATGTTCCCCTATGTCAGAGAGTTTGTTTGCAGGTTCAGCAGGCTCTCGCTCGGCGAGGTGCCGTTGAGAGGCGGGCCTGCATCAACTTTCTGGCTATCAGCTCGATGGCTGGCGGTGTCCTTTAGGGTTTAGGGGTTTTGGATTGAGGGTTTAGGTTGGTATGCTTTGGGGTTTAGGGATTTAGGGTTTAGGGTTTAGGGATTGAGGTTTCGGGTTTAAGGCTTATGGAATGCGAAAGAAGATGGAAGCTACTGTTTGGCATTTAGGGTCCCGAGAAATGGTTCTATAGTCCGTCATTCCCTACGAACAATCTGCAAGTCTAGCTCACAGGTCAGCCCTAAACCCTAATCCTTAGACTTTAAACCCTGAACCCTATTAGCTAACGCTTGCTGGTTGTTTTGGCACCTTTTTCTTGTTGGTGGGTTAGTAGGGACTGCAGGGAATACAATCCCTACATCATCCTTGTATACTATCTCCCCTCATTCCCTGCCAGTAAGTTTTGGGAATCCATGATGTCATCCCCTACTAGGAAGAAGCAAGTGTTGGGTCCAATCTTTGGGCTTCTGCGAGCTCTGGGCTTAGAGCTCAGCAGTCGAGTGCTTGAAGCATAAGATTCCTTTGTTTGCATGCATGTTGCAAGAGGGATGTAGTCTGAGGGGACGGTAGACGGAATAAGTCTCAACCAAGCTGCGGGTGGCTCGGTATTCTGTTACTGAGAGAATACTGTGGGACTGCCATAGGGTGGCGGCATCCAAAGAATGTGTATAAGAAAAAACAAGAGGTTTGCTTTCTCGGCCCTTGGATCAAACCCAAGCGTGCGGCTCCCATATCCCTGGCACCTTGGACATTCAAGGAGGTTTAGGGTTTAGGACTTTCACAATTGCTGGTTTCTAGGGAAGGAATAATTGGCACAGAATTTGTATTGAGGAATGACAACGTGTCAGCAATCCTTGATGTGCGCCTAACAAGCAGCCAGTTCGGTTTCGGGGAAAGGGCTTAGAGGTGGTGGAATCTTATGAGAGAATTCTCTCCACTTGACGAGGCTCTTTGCTTTTCTGAAGATACGACTTGCTGGAGAAAGTTAGTATTGCGGCTGAACAACTCGAATGTTCGAGACAGGGAGTATGACTTGGGAAGGGCTCCCGGACCATAGCCATTGGTAATGACGTGGGAGTAGTCAAGGGCCACGATTTATGGCTCCGTGTGGCATTCAGAGCTTTGCTGTGGACCCTGAAACCCCTTCATGAGGCTTAACGCATCCAGAGGGTTATTGTAACTCGAGTCTTCGAAGTTCGGATCTAGGGCTTTCGAAAATGCGTTGTAGAAAGACTTTGGGGGGGGGTACTGAGAAACGCGTTGATGCTCTGAGATGTTGAGTTCGTTTCAAGGGATAGAGATTTTACCTCTCGTTCTACTGAATCCAGGGTTTAGTGCTTAGGGAATAACGGAATATGAAATCAAAATTTAGTGTTAAATCATTGCTTAGTGTTTAGGGAATACTGGAAGGGAAAAGGAAACTATCATATGAGCTACTGTCAACACTTGAAGTCGCCAAGGGACCAATGGGGGTGGACATAGGAGTCCCTCTGGTAGTTTAGTAGGGTTTGGTGATATGCTCTCCAAGTGGAACCCATGTCCATTGCTTATGTGGGAAATATCGACGGCAACTCATCCCCTAAACCCTAAACTCTCTTTAACCTTATTCCCACAACGAACCCAGCACAAGCTCAGGCCACATCTTCCACTTGGGCGTACCCTGGCGCTTCCATGAGCGCAGTTCTGAAGCCCGTGGCCGGGATTGGGAGGATGGCCATTCCAAGGCCTCTGTTTATTGGTGGATGTAGGGTTTAGGTTTTGGGGGTTTAGGGTTCAGCGTTTTAGGGTTTAGGGTTGAAGGCTGGTGTTTTTCCATGTTGAGGATTTTGAAGTTTGGGGGGTAGATCTTGCTGTCAAGGGAATAATCAGGATTTGGGCATGTAAGGGCCTTTAGGGTTGAAGAGTTAGAGTGTGGGGCTTTTGTACGTCTGGTTGGGCAGGTCAATGTCAAATCTTTAGCCTGGATAGAAACGATTAGCATGAACTAAGCCGCTTTTGCTATCATTTCAGGATGCAGAAGTGTTTCGAGATTTTACCAACCTAGCGTTCTTCTAGCCTTGCTTTTGTTCAGTTGTGACGCTGGCTTCGGTGTAAAAGGGCAGCTGAGGTCCAGGTAGAAAGCTACCTATGTCCCTGGTATTTTTGGAGGCACCAAGCGGAGTTCCTTGGTGTTTGAGCTCAAGCCCTTGCCTGGCTGTATGGAGTTTTTCGGTTTCAGGATTCCGGATTTCCATGCAAATTTAGTGGTTTGGTGCCTACATTCGCGCCATGTATAGACTACAACAACTTGCAAGAGTTTTCAAGAAGGGTGCCGGAGCATACCGCAATTTGCAACAAGGCCCTGCTTCACGAGTTTTTGGAACCTAAATCCCAAGCCCTCAAAGGCTCAGTACAATCCTTTTTGTTGAGCCACAAAACCCGAAACGCTAAACCCTGAACCTTTAACAGCGACCCAGTAAAAGGAAGCTGTGTGAGACCCATATTAGTTTGTGGGATTTTGCTGCCCTTGACGCAGGTTTACCGCCAGCTCAGCGACTCCAGAGAGGGTCATAGAAGCCTTGCGGTCCCAAGGATGTGCCATCATCGAGGAGTGAGGGCTTGAGTCTGTTTGCATTTTGGGATTTAGTCGCTCGGGGTGAGTTCTTAGTTTTGATTTTAGGGTGTAGTGTAGGGCTCAGGGGCATAGAGGCTTGAGGTCAATGAGAGGATTTGCTTGCTATTTGTGTTACTGCCGCTGGGTTTTCGCAACAAAGCGCAGGATTTCAGAAGCTTCAAGTGTGTGAAAAGATCATGGAGCTCAGCGCATCACCTGTGTGCTGGAGAGGGTTTTACCGTGTATGCTGGGACCGCTGTCTTTCGTTGGAGTAATTAGGTATGCCATGCAAAGGAATCAGAAGATAAGCAGCCCCCATTTTAGCCGCTTCTAATCACTTCCCCCTAATAATCACCACCCATTCCCTAAAAATTGGGTTTTCCTGATATAGAAATATTCCCACTAATCTACTTATGACATTTAAGTATTGTTGCGGGGTGGTTATTATTCCGCCGGGACCTAGGGGGGGCACTTTCTCGGACCAGGCTGGCCCTGCAGTAGACCTTTCATGAACTTTAGGACTTAGGGTCCAGGATGTTATTCCCAAACTCACCATCCTGAACCGCAAATCCTCAACCTATAAACTATAAACTCCCAATCACGAACGTCACGCCCTAGACCATCTTGCCGCAAACACCAAATCCTAAAACACCAGTTCTAAACCCTAGACTAGGAATCCTCAAGCCCTTAATCCTAAACCCCGAAATCACAACAACAACTCGAAACCCTACACCCTATATACCCCTATATACCCCTATAGCCTGTATAAAAAACCTATATGCTATGTTAACCCTATATACCCCTATATCCCCTACCACCCCTATACAAACCCTACATCCCCTTTTCAGGAGCTCATTCCCGAGAGCCGTATGGCCCGCATCTCACGTGAGCTGGAGCTGGGTTTGCACGCGGGTCCTCGTGGGATTTGGGGCATGGGGTTTAGAGTCAAGTCTAGGGTGGATAGTTTCAGGGTTTATGGGTTTTGGCGCTTAGGTTAGGGTTTTGGGGTTTGAGTTCGTGGGGAATATGGGATGTAGGGTTAAAGGTCCATGGTTTTGGAGCTTGGGGTCTGTTGGTTTCAGGGTGCATCGTTTGAAGTCCATGAGGTTAGCGGGGTCAGGGCTTCGCGGTTCGGGCGTTTGGATCCTACAGCATTTAGGGATCTACTGCTCAAGCCTAAGTTATAAAGGTTTAGGAATTAGGCGGATCGTCAAGGATTTGACAGCTGAATGAGCGTCGCCACGCCACAACAGTTCCTTGCGGACCTGGTTGTCCCCACTTACTCTCTCGAGTCATTCTCAAACTCAGGATGCACCCTGCGCCCTAAACTGGGTTTAGAGGGCTAGAGCGAGCACACGCCTTGCTAAGCGGAGACACTTCTTCTAGAAATCTTCTAGTGCAATAAAAAACTACCCTGAACCCTAAGCCCTGCAAGGGGTGCCTGCCAATCCGATTAGGAGCCCCACGTCAGCGCAAGGGCTATGCCAGCTGATGGCGCACAGGCGGCATGGACAAATTTTGGGAGCTTCCGCTAGGGGGTGCTGCTTCGCTGGGGGCTTTTGGTGTTTAGGGATTACGCTTTAAGGGCTCAGGGTCTAGAATTTAGGGTTTAGGCTTTAGGGCGGCTGGAGACTACTTCTTTGGATTCTTCAGTGCTAAAGTAGAAACTGGCATGAACTAGTCAAACAGGGTTGGGTGTGGTCAGTAACCCCAGACCCTGAACCTTATGTTCCCCTTATTCCCTAATTTACTAACCGCCAGTAAGGTTAGGCGTTGGAACTGTCAGGAGGCCTGGGACGACCATCAACCATTATTCATAATGTCAAAGCCCCAAGCAACGAACCCTAAGCTTGCTGGGCGTTAGTACGGAACCCCAAGCTTGCTGGGCGTTAGCACGGAATACTGGAATCTGTTCCCCGTATCATCCCTATTTCGCACATTCCCCTAATCCCACCCCTTGTTCGTCAATATAGGCTGAGGGACTTTGTGACTACAATGTAAGCCTTGTAGGGTCCTTAGTATAAGGGTTGGGATTACCAATACAAACCTCAAAGTCTCTGAGGTGATGCTGCCCGAGCATGCAGACTCTTGCCTGCAGAGGGGCTTCTTTGGGTAGGCGGTCCCTAATCCTGATTGATAGTCCGAACTTTAGGCATGCCCTAAACACTAACCCCTTACCATTTGAAGGCAATCACAATACTCCTGAACCCTAATCCCCAAAACCATATCAAGGTAACTTGCTTCGGTTCCTTGACAGCAACCCAACGAAACCTTATCTTGCTCCTGCGGAGAAAGGATTTCATGGGCAACCGAACCAAGCGGATGCTGGGGGTTCCTCGGCTACAAAAGTACGGGCAAGATTAAAACTAATAGCCATTAATAGTATAACACCAGCAATGGCAATTGGTCATACTGCTTGCGGTGGTACCAGACATGCGAAGAGCCTCGGGATGTTGCGGGTTGAATGCTTAAGGCTTAGTCATGAGGTTGTTGTGGGTCGGTTTCAGCGTCCATGGCCTGGGGCTTAGAGTGCCCTAAATCCGAACCACGAACCGCGAGCGCTAAACGGGCGTCTACAGCCTCCCCGTCTACAGCCTCCCCCTCCCTGATTCTAGTACTTCAGCGTAGACCTACCGGGTTCAGGATGTAGGTTTGGGGTACGAAGTTTAAGGCCTGGGGTTAAGGATAGGGTTTGCGCCGTGGAACTTTGGGAAGACCATTGGCGGCGTGGGCTTTAGATGGAAAGCTTTGGGTTATGGCTTCTCGGCGCACCCAAAGAGAGTCCAGCAAGTCATCGCGCTTGATCTCTTAGATGCATGGGCTTCTTTGTGTTTAGGGTTTAAGGTTTTGTTGACGCCTGCCCAAGGTCTTTTTCTAGAGGCCCAAATGCAGGTCTTCCATGCAGCTGCAAAGTTAGCTTCCAACTTCATCGTGCTTCAAAGGTGGAATGTAAGCACTAGGCCGCACCCCTACAGTTTAGACTTTGAACATCAGGACCATCAGCAACTAAACCCTAAACCTTGAAATTGCTCTGATCCCCATGCCCCGGAACCTCAATCAAAAGCCCTGGGTGAAGGATTAAACGTGTAGAGATTTTGACCAGGGTCAGGGTAACAGTAGCATTTCCAAAACCCCCTCAGAGATCGCGAAACCTTATTCGCTCAGATTTTGAACCCAACCTTGACCGCTTGAATCCGAAAAATCACAACCCACCATACATCCTAAACAAAGAAGACATAAGATCCCTAAAGTCCTAAACCCTCACCCGAAGCCCTTAAAACCCTAAAAATCACCTTGCCTCTGTCCGCACGGCTTCAAGCGGGTAGTGGTGAAGTGGGTTTGGGGGCTGAGGGTTTGGGATTAGGGTTTAAGGTTAAGGTTTCTATTGTTTTCTGGTTAGGGTGTAGCTCCGCGTTTGATCAGGGTTTAGGGTAAAAGCTCCTATGCGCGAACATTTGCCGACCTCATTCCTACAAGCTGAATGTGGTACACACCCACCCTAAACCCGCTACAAACCCTCAATCCCAAAAGCTAATCCCAGACCCCTAAACGCTTAACCTCAGGCCCTTAATCCCAACCGTTCAGCAGGCCCAAGTTTTCCTTAAAACGCTAAATTCAAAACCTTCAAGAATCAGGTTCTTGGAAAAGCCCCAAGCATGTCTGAGCTGGCTGCGCACCCAACGGTCCTGGGCGTTGCAGCTGCTGGGGTTTCATTCAGAAGTTTTTGGGTTTTGGGTCTGGGACAAAGTGCGTAGGCTTTAGGGTTTAGGGTTGGAATTACCATTCTTGAGATTCATGCACATGTTTAATGTAGGAGTTAGGGACTTACCTTGTTGAGTTTAGGATCTGGGACTTTGGGCTGGAACCTTGCGTACAAAGGTGGTTGTAATCGGGCCAGCCTAACCGCAGGTCCTTACGCTCCTAACCGCCAAGCCCAAGAACCCTAATCCCCTGAACTCCCTTCAACGTCTCCACTCTAGCCCCTCAACCCTAAGCCGTAAGCCTCTGAGTCCTAGGATGCACTTCTTGCACCTTACTGTGAACGTATTCAGCTCCACATCGGCATGTTCCGGCGACTCTGTCCAGGTGAGATGGGCTTGGGTTTAATGTTCACGGCTGAGGGTCTAGGGGCTGAGGGTCTAGGATTACGCGCTTAGGACCAAGGGTTTTGAATATGCCTGAACCCTAACCCCTTAAACCTTTCGGGAGTTGGAGCTTAAGGCTTATGGGCTGCTTCAGGGTACAGGGTGCAGTGCCTAAGAATGAAGTTTTGGGTTTAGGGATTAGGGAGGCCAGAGATGTAGAGTTGAGGCTGTACAGTGCAGAGCTCAAGCTTCAGATCTTCATTAGTTTCCATTTTCTTTTCCATTATCCATCTAGAACCTATATTACCCTAAATTATCCCAAAGAATAGTGTAGAATGATATGGGGATAATGGAAAAGAAAATGGAATCATTAATTTGTGCTTCGTTCTGTTCCGTTTGCATTTAGGCCAGGACTGGAGGTAGGAATATGTTATTTTTGTTGTTTTTGTGGCCTTGTTCGTTCAAGCCAGAAATTTGTGGGGAGCAAAGATGAACCGAGCAGGGCCCCAGAAGCATGCAGGGAGGAAGAAGGCAAGAGATGGGTGGCAAGTCTTTCATGATTCTCGGCGGGGGCGTGCACCCAAACCCTCAATCCTAAAAGGCCAGGGTCGGATTTTCTCTTCCTTCTTCGCCGGAGGCCGACAATAACAAGGTACGGGCATCAGAAATGCAGCAGGTGGGGACTTCTCAAAAATGCAGGGATTGGAAATGGGAACCCCAAACAGGGAACCCAAATAATCTTCTAGGACTCTAGTAGGAATATAAGGACCGTGGTAGAGATGTTCCTGTTATATTCCTACTATATTCTTGGGGTTCCCTGTTTTGAAGCCATTACAGTCCCTTTGAAAAAAGGAGGGATCCTTTCTTCCTGCTAGATAGTGTTGCAAGAAGAGCTCTCCACGATCCATTTTTTCAGTCTTTGATCAATGTCTTTGCACAGTAGGGAGGCCTTGAGTTGCTGTTAAGGAACTTAAACTAAGCCGTCATTATATGGGTATTATAGTATTTTTACGTTCCTGAACAGCACCCCAGTAACCATTTTTCTTGGGGCCCGGGCAGTTCTTTATCAGTCATGTTTTTTGTTGCTGGCTGAGGCATCAAATCCCTCAACCTGCCTTCGCGCAGGTGAGGCCAAGCAGCCTCTGCACCAAGATCGCCACAGCGCCTGAACTGCAAGAGTTTGCGTGCGACACCAGGATCTTGGAAGGGAGTAAGGTTCTACTTCGGTTAGGACCCATTTGTGTAGGGTTGACGCCAACAAGTTCCTTGCCTCCAAGGCATCTTTGTACATGCATGAAACTTCAGCTTCGAAATACTCCCCGTATGGGGCCCAATCCTTCCAGAAGCGTGTCACCAAGAATTTGGGACCCAAAGGTCAACAGAGTTTGCCAGGGCCCTGTAGAAAATCTGACATCCCTTGAACCGCACGGAAAGGCGATCTGGTTTGAGCTAACCTTAAACCCTGTGACAAGGCCTTAGAATCCCCTCCAAAGAAAAACAGTTAGCATAATTATGAGTGACATTGAAAGCCTGAAGCCCAAAGCTCTGAAGTGTACATCCGAAGCCCCAAAGAAGCTTTGAAGCCTGAACCTTTCCAACACAACCCCTCCACCAAACCTAAACCCCATAAACTCTCTCTCTCTCCCCCCACCATAACCCTCAAACCCTGAAAACCCCTAAACCGTAATTCCGCAATCCCCAGACTCTTCACCCTTCCCTACGTTGGATACTAAAAATCCTGCATGGCCCTGAGTAAAGAATACCTTGGGACCTACTAAATAATTCCTAAACCCTAAACCCTAACTAGGATAGCATAATGGTGCGTATATCGGGGGTTATATAGGCAAAATGGAAAAGAAAATGGAAACTACAGGGATTCCGCGGTAGCAAGGTGTTCCGGCCATGGACCTCAAGCCGGGACCGGGCCAGCCCGGCTACTTCCCCGGTGCGCAGTGGGGTGCCTTGGAAGGAAGAAAGGCTTGGTCTGGTTCTTACCGAGTACTCCCTCAATATGTTTAGGGGTTTAGGGGTTTGGGGTTTGGGGTAACTGCTGTATCAAGAAAAGCTAGAGAAACTCAGCCCGGAAGTCAGCCGGGAAGGGTCGGGGGCGAGGAGGGGCGGGGAGAGAAAGGTAGACACAGCTTACTTACTGGGGGTTAACAGGGGACAAGGTGAGGGTCAAGGAGTTCAGGGTTAAGGAGTTTAGGGTTTAGGAGTCTAGGGTTTACGAGTTTAGCGTTTGGGATTTAGGGTTAGTAGGGAATGAGGGAATATACTATATTGAGAGTATATAGGGCTTGCATTCCCTTATTCCCTACTGAAACCATTGAGCTTAGGGTCAAGAAGTTTAGGGTTTGCGGGTTTTGGGTTTACAGTTTTCGGAGAAATCAGAATGCGGTTCCCTCACAGGATTCTATACAAATAATTTCAGAAGTTGCCATATCTCACCCGCTACAAGGATTTCCAACCGCTTCCTAGGTAAGAAACCTAATCTACTAATCCACGTGGTAGTTGCGAACGACGGTTTCTCTCTATTTGGTTAACCGGGCAGAAGCGCTTAGCCGCTTAGCCTGTGCTGCAATTCTTCACCCCTCCTCAATTCCAGGAGCCTCAGCCATCTCTACCCACACAGTGGATCCCCTCATTTGAACCCAAAATCCCACACCCTTCTTGGTAAAGCCCCCGTAATTTGCAAAAAGCCTCCACGGGCGACACTTGGCTTGCTGATGCGTAGTGGAGAGTGGGTGGATCCTTAAACCCTTCCCTGCACAATCCCCGTTTTTACTCCTACTTCAGCCTGTTTCGTTACCTAAACATGCGCTGCCCCACTCCCCCCTGCAATTCGTGACGATGCGTCCGAGGTGTTGCAGCACTCTGGGCTCTCTCTGACTGCACCGAGACGCTTGGTCTTCAGGGTTTAGGGTTTAGGTGAAAGGGGCTTAGGGTTTTGAGTTCAGCGTGTGCCAGCTTGGAACCATCCGGAAATTTCTCAGAATTACGGATCCCGTTCGATCCTTCGCGAAGATACATCTACATAGTCTATATACATATGTGTCCTGTGCATGTGTAGACTGGATGGGGTGTTAGCAAAATCCACATGTCTGTTTTGGGATTTCCTGGTGAAAGTCAGGATGAACGGAGCCACAAGGCTGATCCCAGGCTCTCACCTTCGAGACGATCCTCAGCTGCATATACCTTCCACTTCAAGTGGGGGTCAGGCTTTCTGTGTTTAGGATTTAACGGTTTAGGGTTCAAGGTTTTAGGTTTAGGGATTGGGCATAGAATTTTCGCTTTAGGGTTTTTGGCTGAGAGTTTTCGGAACTTGGGACAAGAACTCAAAGGCTGGGAGTTTTGCTTGAAGGGTCAATACAGATAGAATCAGCTCTTCTTCATATGTAGTGTTTGATTTTTTCCTGAGCACGTCTTCCTGCTCCCGCCTTGCACCCGTCCATGAACGAGCCGCTGCGAGATGAGGATTTAGCTATTTCAAGCTGTGCGAGTCTATGACCTATTGTCCTACATGCTTTGGGGGTTCCAGGTAAGGTTCAGGGAAAGATAATTAAACACGAGCATTAGGGTTTAGGGCGCTTCCCAGAAATAAGGATCCCCTTCCTATACCCCAACAGAAGGATTTGAAACTCGCAAAAGTGACTTTTGGATATCAGAAAACCCAACATGATCTTGTTTCAGATGCTTGGCGGGCCCTCATGTCCTGAAGGACGTGAATCTCGACATGACTCTGAAAAGAACTCAAGCGGATGGTCGATGGGTGCCCAGCGAGGAGTCTGTTTTTGTGCTTGGAGGCCTACACCCTGAGCTACTCGGGTAAAAGGGGGTGGATCCCTGTACAAGGCCCTATGAAATGCCTTTCAGCAGTCCCACTTGTTCCCTAGTAAGTAAGAGGAGATTCTACTGTGTCGAGGTCACAGGTTTCAGATGCAGATTGACAAGCGGAGCTATCATCTTTGAAAGGTGCTACCAGGTAGTAGCCTGAGGGTTGTCTCTAGGCTGCACAGGCTACACCCAAAGCCTTCCCAGCGCATTTGGCATGTAAACGGAACACCGGCAACATCCCCTGCGCCGAAGTTGTCCCGCAAGTTGCTAAGATGCAAGCCATCCGTGCCGTGAAGCTGCATTGACTGTCCTCCAAGTCAGCACGCTGCTGCACCACCCCTCCTGAAGCACGAAATCCAGACACCAATCCCCAAGGCATCTCAATTCAATTCTATACATCTATATAGAAAATATATAGACTGATGAGTATCGTCCTGACCCCCAATACCCTTAGACACCCAAACCCAAAGTCCCCAAACCCTCAAAGCCTCACAACCTAAACCCTGACAACTCTAAACTCTAAAGCTTCTAACCTTACTGGTTGCTAGTATGAAATGAGGGAATAAAATATATAGGGGCTATGTAGGGATTATTGCCCTGATTCCCTACGAAGAACCAGAAAGCCACTGGCTCCCTATGATCATAGTGCCTATCTATCCCGCCCCCCGTAGTCTTAGTTTTGTGACCCTAAACCCTCAACCACGTCTGTAACAGGAGGATTGTGTCTTGGCAACCATGCCTCGGGGCAGCGTTCTGCTCTACCCTTCGGCCACCGTCCATGGGGCCTCGGCCAACCGACCCTTGGCTCCCCTCTACCTGGAGGTTTGGTTTTCGAGGGTGCAGGATCCAGGGTTGAGGATCTAGGCTTTCGGGTACAGGATCTAGGCTTTAGGGTTTAGGATCTAGGGTTTTGGGTTTAGGGTCTAGGGCTTAGCGTTGAGGATCTAGGGTTTAGGGTTTAGGGAAGAAACTGATGGAGAGAGGGTAGCTACTGATCTACAGTTTACCCCAAGCCATGAGCCCTATGTAAGGTGCTTTACACAATCCGCCGCGGTGGTCTTTTCACATGCCCATGGGGAGTTGGAGGTGTCAGATTCAGGGGTTTGCGGCCTAGGTTTGGCGTTAGGGATTCTGGCTTTACTGCATTAGGGCTGGAGGTCTGGGGTCTGGGGCGCACTTTAGGGCTTCCAGCTGTAGTTGGTAAGTTAACGGCTCAGGTAGTGGTTCACGGTCAATTAGTGCAGAAATAACAGACAACGCAGGACAGCTCATGCTCTGTAAAGGCTATACCTAAGAGCCTACACAAACAGATATCCTACACTGCAAGACATACGGATTGTATTTGCCAAGCAGGAACCGATGGCATTCGGGACGTGTGCCTGTTCGCCTACTCTCCTGCATGGGTCCGGCAAGAAGAGAATATGCACCTTTGCGAAGAACAAGTACAGAGTCAGGCATTTAGGGTTGAGCGTCTATAATTTCATGGTATCTATGAGCTGTAGGGTTGAGCGTCTATAATTTCATGGTATCTATGAGCTGTAGTCTAAACACGTAGTATCCCGCTTAATAACCCCTATGATAGTCCCCTATATAACCCCTTCAAAGGAGTTTAGACTATAGCTCATAAGGGGCACAGCTGCAACTTGTGACGCCCACATATTCACCGAATGTCTGAGCTCGCGGGATTAAAGTTTTGCTTTCACGCTTAGATCTGTGGCCCAACAATGGACCCCGGAACTTCTTCTCCTTGTTGCGTATTTGGGGCCTTAAGCGCAGGCCAGTGATGTGTTGTGTTAATTAGCGGCTAGGTCCAGGAACAAGCGTTCTAGGAAAGAGTTCATGTGGGATCCTTGCCAATGCCGCATAGAACCCCCAACCCTAAACCCTAAAGGATGCCGGCTCAACCGACCAAAGCTGCAATCCTCAGAGCAAGCTTTGCAAACGGGAGTTGTTATACACGCCAAAGGGTTCGTCAATGTCGGGACGCCCAGGAAGCGAGATTTTCTTGAGAAACCTACAGATCATAGCTCATGAACGACAATTGATTTTGGGGAGTACCGTCCAGCGTTTAGAGTAGTTTTGCGAAGAAGCTGGATGTAGATGTGTTTGTTCCTCTTCTTTTTGGAAAAGTAAGAGGAGCTCTTCGACCTACAATATGCAGTACCCTTGCACGGGATGTACGATACAAACGCATGACCACTTCTACCTGAAGGTGTTTTATGGTTTTGGGTACTTGCTTGTAGGGTAGCTTCCATCAGGAATATCGGGTGATGCACCACCTGAGTGTGTGCATGGGTGCGTGTGTGTCGTTGTAGTCAAGGGTTGGCGTTGTTCGTTCGCTCAACTTGTAGAAGCAGCACAAGAATTGCGCAGCAGCCGGGAATTGCAGCCTGCGACCCTAAAGCACGACGTCACAATTCGTAATCCTGAGCCATCCGCTTTACGCGCCGAACCCTCAGTCCTAAAGGTAAGAGAAATGCAAATTGCAAACACCAACTGCCAAGCAACAAACCCCAAATCCTAATGGAGCTTCACTCCCTGAATCCGCAAAGCCTTCCAGATGGATTCATCGTTAGCAAAAACGAAGTTGAGGAATATCTTTCTCTTTCTGTGTTGTTCAACGCTGCAAGGGTGTCCTTGTTATGCGACCTCCGGACAGATACCCGGCGTTTCCGGCGCATTATATTTTGGGACATTCCGAAAACCAAGAATAGTACGAGCTGTCTGAAGCTGCGTAAGGCAGATAGACACAAAGACTCTAATAAATCCCAAGTTAGGCTATGATGTTCGGGAACCATGAACATGTGCTGATAGCCGCAAAACGCTCGCAACCTACACACACCCCCTCAATCTGGAACCGTCTAGCCCGACAGGGTGAATACTTCAAGTAGCGCATGGCTCTATTTACTTGCTGCCCTCATCCTGCCATGCTAGACGCTGACCCCGCTTGTCAGCTGCCCCCAAGGTATCTGACAACGCCACCTGAAGTTGCAGTGAAGCTACCTCCAGAATCTTGCCAAGCTTATGGCTCCAGGTTTCAGAGTTTTGTAGGCAGGGCTCAGTCAAGTTTCAGGTATCAGGATTTGGGGTTCGGGCTTCAAGGAGGATACAGGACTGTGGAGATGTGAAGTAATCAAGGCTTTGGGATCCAGGGTGGCAGCTATAGGATTCGGAACACTGATTTTGGGCCAAGGGCAATATGTTGAGGGTAGACTCTGGGTGTTTTTTGCGAGGGTCCGCGGGGCGAATGCTGAGAAAGTTGGGATTCCTGCAGTGGTGATTGTGTAGAATGTAGGTCAGCTTGCGTATTTATACTTACACTTGCACTCCAAGCAAACAAGCAGGCGCCGGCTAACGACATAACTACCGGGACAGCATGTTCAGAGATCTTCCAAGCCCTCTGGCCCCCAAGGGCTCCCTCCTGGAGAAGCCAACATCCTTGTCATCCCTTTTCATCTTATATTTCTGCATATATATATATATATGTGTGTGTCCTTATACACCCATTTCGAGAAACCCCATAATTTGAGTTAATGTGCTACCTCCAGCCCTACTAGAGGGAATAGTTAAATGGACCCTGGTATCCCCCCCCGATCATACAGAAGTTCCCGCGTTGCTTTCCATCCTTTAGTTGCTTAACCCACAAACCCATGTAAACCCTGCACCTTATATGGATAGATAGATGGATAGGTAGATAGACAGACAGATACCTTAAAGCCATGGCTTTCCATTTCATGTTCCATCTGATTCCATCACAGTAGCCGTATATGATCCACCATAAACAACGAGCAACGGCCAGGTTGTGCAGGAGCTCATCGGCTATTCTCTGCATGGGCAGGCCTGGTTTCGGGTGTTAGGGTTTGGGGCTTAGGGCTTAGGGCTTTACAGTTTTGGGGTATCAGAGTTTTAGGGTCCAGTGTTTGAGGGTGTATTCAGGGTTTAGGGTGGCCGGCGGGCCTGAAGATATGGGATGAGTGGGTGGGTGGGACCAATACAGGAACCACACCGGTCTCGGGGATCAAAAGTTCTATAACTGCGCTATGATCTAAACTTCTTGGAATATAGCTCAACTGATTCATGCAGAGGTTCATTTCCAATTTGAGACGCTTGAATGTAGGGGTTGGGGTCGAGACTTTATGCTGTGGCCTTATCAAGACTGCCAGGCAAATTCATGTCCTCTCATAGGTTCAACTTCTGGGTATATCAACGGTCCCTCCCTGGCTGCTATACAACGTGCAGACGCCCCCCCAATGTACATGTTGGGCACCTGAACCGCATGCAGTAATCGCAGGAAGGTATTAAAACTTAAACCCTTAAACCCCAAACCCCTTAACCCCCCTAAACCCTGAACCCTGAAAACCCCAAACCTTAAATCCATGAAACCCATCCAAACAGTAAGCAGGTGCTTGGCATGGTGGACGTTAAAGGCGACATGGGTGATCCCCAAGATCTACTGAAGGAGATAGCACCTTCAGGGTTGACGATGGGCTTAGGGTTTTACAGCCCCTCCTGAGTACATATAGGGCTTAGGGTTTTGTAGTCCCCCCTTAAGTAGACATAGAGTTTAGAGCTCATATTCCCCCCTAAGTGGGTACAGGGCTTAGGGTTTATCGTTTCCCCTTAAGAAGATATAGGGTTTTAGGGTGTAGGGTTTATAGTCCCCCTAAAGTAGATTGCAGACGGGTTCTATGGCGATCTTAATGTGGTTCTGGCGAGTCCATATTCTACGAACTTCAGGAAGACGAGAGGGTTTGGGGTTTAGATCAAATTGCAAGGTTCAGCGTTGCTCCGCATTGCTCCTCAGGGTTTTCAGTTACGTTTAGCATTCTGAGGGGCGGAGAGGTATACCACCGCATAAGAGGTTGAATGGATACAAGGCCCTTTAGACTTGTGAACGTGCACGCTTGCAAGTAAGGTTACATGATTTTTGGGATGGGCTTAATAATTGGTGGGTCCGACGTAGGCTTCAGTCCTTTCTCACCTTACACCTCAAAGTCTAAGCCCTAGAAACTAAACCCTGAGACCTAAATCCAGGGTGTCCTTCAGCCACTCCAACTGAGTCATCGTCTGACATCCTGTAGAGATGGCTAAGGCTTCAGTAGGACGGGAGATCTAGAGCATTATCAGATTAAAGTATCCTTGGCTCTAGATCCGTAGCCAGATCCAACATAGAGGGGAAAGAACTAGAGTAGGGCCCGCTACTTCAGCATACAACGGAAAGCCTAAGCCCTTAGCCATGTGAAGGGGTGAAAAACACCAAATTCGGCCATGAGTGTGACCCCCTGGACCTCAAACCTTTTGCTCAGTATTGAGCCCTTATTCCAATTTTTTCTTGGCCCAGTACAGCCCTGCCCAAGCGCACACGAAGCCGAGAACCCTTCCAGCCTAACCCCGACATTGACTCCAATGTAGACCCCCAACATGATATGATCCTCAATATAGGGATCCCAGAAAAGGGCCCTGATTTCGCAAGCCCCAGGAGAAGTACCGCAGCTCAGTGTCCGAAAGAACCAGTGCTTCACTTCCGGTTCTGAGCCGCCGGGCTTTGGGTGTTGCAGGGCTTCCTCCAAACCAACATGGAACCTGAAATAAGCAGTTTAAAGGTTTAGGGCTTAGCATTCTAAAAGGACAGTAGTCGAAGATATCTATGTCACGTTATTTTGGTGGAGGGTAGGTTTAGGACTTGGGGTTCAAGGTTCAGGTTACGGATTTAGGGTGTAGGTCTTCTTGGGGGCTTGAGGTTTACGGATGGGTTTGGGGAGTGAAGTTTAGGATGGCGGCTTGGGATGGGGTTTCGGGTTCGGCAACTTGTGGATGTCTAGATGGAGTAGGGTTTGAAGCATTTTCTTTACTTATGAACTGTCTAGCAAAGAAGTGGCTGCTGCACCTCAGCCTTATTGTCAACTCCTGCTCATGGAGCTGGGTGAATTTCTGGGATTCAGGCATTTGAAGGTAGCACTCAAATTCAAATGCTTTTCATATGTGACCAGTGGGTAGCAAAGGGATAGGAGCAGCAGGAGGAGGAGGCGGAGGAGGAGCAGTAGGAGGAGGAAGAGCAGGAAAAGGAGCAGGAAGAGGAGGAGAAGGAGCAGTAGGAGACCAGCAGTGAAGCAAGATCACAACCGCGTCATCCTGATGAGACTCCTCAAACCTCCCAGAACTTGTGGCTTAGTTGGTTGAAAACCTGCTAAGAGATGGGTGCAGCCCAATCTGCTTACTGCAGGGTTAGTAAGGCATAAGGGACTAGATTACACAGGGATTATGTAGGGAATATATGATTATATTCCCATTCATTCCCTTCCTCCCCCATTATACAAAGATTATATGGGTATTATTTGGGATTATATTCCCTTACTCCATTCTCCCTTCCAGTAAGTCTGGGTGCAGGAGTCGCCGGGACATGCAGTGCCCCGGCACTCGCAAGGCCTTTGCAGCTTCCCTTCGGGCGGCGTGCGAGCACAGCGGTTTCCTCTACCTGGCGCGGCAAGGGGGGGGAGGTTGTTCCGGGCCAGGGGTGCAGCTAGAACTGGGTGCTTGTGCAAAAATCATTAAGCCTACAAAAGAACGTCCCTCAAGAGTGCCCTGAAGGTTGTGGTAGGGATACATACCATACATGTACCCTACAACCCTAAACCCCTAACTTGGACATAATCCTACAGAAACAGGCCGCTCAGGTTCCTCCCTGGCAGGCATCATGTTCCAAGAACGACCGGGACCGGGCGCCCTGTGAAAATATATAAGCCCTGGAGAAGCCACGCACAAGCTTATAAGGGTTGAGGAGTGCGACTTAAACACAAAACCTGTAACCCACAGAGCCCGAACCCGAGCCCTGCCTGGATCCCCAAGAATTGGCAGGCCCAAAACCCTAAAAACTGTAAAGCAGACCATGTTTCTACAGACTTCAGGTGCCAGATAAACCTTAAATTCCCAAACCCAACACCCTAAACCCCCATATCCCCAGACCTGAACCCTGGACCCAAGAGCCTGAAAGAAAGTCCCAGCACCTTCCAGGCAGATCATGGCTTAGACAAACAGCTCCTTGGATGTGACTTACCTTACTGGCGGTCAGTAGGGGATAAGGGAGTATGCTTGGGTTTAGGGTTTAGGGTTTAGGGTTACTAGGGAATAAGAGTATAAATATATATATATATATATGGTACCCCCTCCCCCCATTGACCAAGGTTTTTTCGAGAATGGCAATCAAAAGTGGTCTACTGTCCCTAAAGAACCAATCCTGTAGGTGAAAAGTGCTATACTGCGGCTATAAAAACTTAAAAAAATGCTTTAGTTTCAAGGCCTTTTGTTTTCAAGGTAATCCTTTCCAAAAGCTTGGTTTTTAGGGACAGTACAGCACTTTCTGCCTCTGGGCCTTAAAAAAGTGCTGTACTGTCCCAATAAAACCAATCTTTTTGGTTAAAAGTGCTGTACTGTCCCAATAAAACCAAAAAAACAATTTTTTTGAGTCTTCCAGGCCTACCTGCCAAAAAGATTGGTTTTATTGGGACAGTACAGCACTTTTTAAA